TCTAACTGTGTCATCTCTTTTTCTCCTCTGCCTCCCTTCGTCCCACAAAGCTATGAAGGGTCAGTGCCATTCCGATTGGGCCCCCTAAAGGCCATGGCCCCTTTAGGCACTGTCCTTGTCACTGTTGCACAGTTGTACCAGGGCTCTTTTGTTCATCCTGATTTGTCGCCCTTGCTGGGCCGACAGTCCCTGATGACTCACAGGGGTGATTCTGTGGTTCCAAGCCTGGAGCTCCTGTAGTTCCAGAGTTCACTGTGGGCAGGGCAAACCTGCTTCCTGCACACCTGCTGTTTTGTGGGTGCTCTGGGCCATCCTGAACTGGAAACACATGAGCCTCAATTTAGCTCAGAATAGATGGTGTTTTTTTCTTTCTGATGGTTTTCTTTAAAAGCCATGCCAGCCATTTTATATCCTTTCCCAGAAGTTCTGATTGATGGCAATCTGGTCAGCCAGAAGCTGCCAGTGGAATAAAACTGCTGACTTGGGCACTGGCCTTGGCTTGAGTTTATTAAGCTTCAACAATATGTGCATGTGCTTGTGTGTCTGCACGTGTGTGTGTGTGTGTGTGTGTGTGTGTGTGTGGTGTGTGTGTGTACATGCATGCATGTGTGCATGCATTCAGGATAGAAACAGAGCATGGAATTCCATGCAGTTGGATCTGGGAGGAACTGAAGGGCTCCCAGTTCCCACAGGAAAAGTAGGACCCACGGAGTGGACTCTGCCCGGTACATGCTCCCTGCTGCCACCAGAGGGTGCAGTGAGCAACAGAATCCCTGCTTCTGGTGTCCTGTCCCAGAGCCTTTGTCTCTAAGGCAGGCCTGTTGGCCCTGGGCAACAGTTGCAGGTGGAGTTCTTAAAAGTCAAACCCCAATTTTCTGTGGTTTGAATCATAATTTGGATTTCAGTTCATGGAAACATATCTCTCACCATTAAAATATTTTTCAAAAGTGAGCCTAAAATAAAATGAAGCACACATTTATACTTTATGAATAATTATCTAAAAACCCAACACTCATATAAGGCTGAAAATTCCTTGAGTGGGTGGAGGAGGTGGCGTTAGCCTGGCCCAGACATAATGAGGCTTTAAAACACATGAATCTGATGAGGTTGGCACTTGGATCCCTTCTCCCGCTCCTGCTGGCTTTTCCATTGGCAGCAAAGCCGTTTTTCTGGTGTGGAGCTTCTCTGCGCTTGAATTAGTCATTTCTCTTAACAACGTCCAATTAGATATGCCTGTGTGTTTCCAGAACCCTGGGAATGGGCAATGGGCGGTGGTCAAGATGGCTTTTGACTTGGTGGTCCCTTCTAAAGATTCTGAATACTGAGCCATGGCTGGTGTAGATGGAGACTTACGTAAAGAGGGTGAGATGGATGGGCAAGCTTTCCTCCAACCTGGGGGGTGATGGGAAAGAGCCAGAACTGCTGTGTAGTTACAATATGCCAGGTGCTGTGCACTTTTTATGCTTTATCTTGGATTCTCACAATAGCGCAGGGAGCTGGGTATTGGGTTCCATTTTACAGACAGAAAATCTGCCTCCAGTGTGAAAATGATAAGAGAAAAAAGTCATAGGAGGCTTCCTGGGCCTATCTGAGAAAGGGTGAGATAAGATATGTGAGAAAGTATGACCAATTCCATGAGGTGACCTTCCAGAAATATCTGAACCAAGAAAAAATATGCCATAATCAAGACATCAATAAGAGGGGGAGATAGAAGAATTGGGAGGGGGTGAGGGAGGGGCGGTAGGGGCTGACCTGGGGAGGAGAGGGGTGGGGGGTGTGGAGATAGATCCAGCCTGGAGCCTGGAGCCTGGAGAGGTGGAGGACAGGCTCTGAGGAGGGGAGGACAATGCAAAACTGGCCATCACAGACAAGATCTAAATAAGCAGAAAGGCCAGGAAGGAGCCCTGGATCCCTGGCACTGCATCCCTCTGGGTATGTCTGAGCATACCTGAGGGAAGTGACTTTCTCTTGTCAAGTGAGATATCAGATGCTAGGCTGTGGGGAAGAAGGGAACATGGAGACCAGGCGGGATTTTTCCTTTGCCTGCTTCCTCTTCTTTCATATCCAGTTTCCTCAGTGCATTTTTGTCCCCCTGCCCCCAGTTATGGAGCCACAGCTCTGTGCTGAGTGGTGGCCTCAGCCTGGAGTTGGTGGCCCAGTGTGGACTGCAGGCCCAGGGGCTCCAGCATGTGTCTGACACACGGACAAGGCCCGTCCAGAATGTCCCAGGTGAAGGGAGGTGGAGGAGGGCAGCATAGCCCTGTTTCTGTGGATTTTCATCACTGTTGATGGGTGTTTGCCTTTCAAATAAAAGTGAATCGTCTGCCATCTTGTGGCAGAGGCCTGGTACTGCCTGGACCCCGCCTTGAGTCCTCCCTTCCCACTGCTCTCCCAAAGCTATGCTGCCCCACTGGGCTGGTAGATGGGTAGGAGGTCAGTGAGAGCTCATGCGGGGAGGAGGAGGGAGTCTGGCAATTTTGGCAATAGAATCACAGGCCCCAGGTGCCAGCCTCAGGTAGAGAAGCTTCTGGGAAGGCCATCCTTGTTGGTACAGGGAGGACTGCTGTCTGTGGAAGGGGGGGACAGAGCCCATGTAGGCAGGTGAGCAGACAGGTGGACAGACCTGGAAGCCAGCCATGGCCCTAAATGATAAAGACAGAGGAGAATCTCAGCAGTGTGGCCATAGTGAGGGAAATTCTGAGGTCAATATCTAATGTCATGCAGAATGTAGAAGACTCACATCAGTGTTTGCCCAGCGTCTGGAGTAGGAGCCGGAGGGGCACAACTCCCCATGGCTATGCCTGCAGCAGTGAGTGGAGGAGCTCAGAGGATATGGGATCACCTCCATGGCTAAAATTCTTAGGAACCAACCTTTTATTTGGAACTTGGGTACAGCTACAAGAAATAAGAGATGATTTTAAACCCACCCTATACAGTCCCTAGCTCTCTGAACTTGGGACAGGAATGCCAAGTTCCAACCTTGCATCATTTTCTTCCCACAAGCTCTCACCCTGGACACCCCGCAGACCTGGTGCTTATCATCGTCACCAGAATCCTCCCTGCCACAGCCACCTCCGGTCCCAAAGGCATCCTTCAGTGGCATTTCTTCATGTGCAAATACTAGTGATAAATTAGGTGAATGCGTGGCCACTGTACACATTGGCGCTGATCCATTTTCCATCACAATGAGGTCCTTCCCAACTCTAACTCTAACCAGGCCAGTTAGGCCATCCCAGCTTCTCATTCTCACTGACATTCTGCATCCTGCAAACAACACAGGCAACGAATGCTGAGTTAGCTGGTGTTTAGTCATGGAGGCAGAGAGCATGTGAGGTTTTTGGAGCAGATGGATTTTACAAATGGAATCTGGTGCCTCCAGAATCGTTAGAAGGCCATTGGAGTGAAGGGAAAGGCACCCCTGAATGTCAGAATATCAAGAATTACAGTAATCGCTAGAAACTGCCGATGACTCGGCAGTGTAGGAGTGGGCAGCTCTCAGGAGGAGCGGCAGTCTGAGGTGTGCTCTCTGGATGTCTCTATGCCCATCCTCACAGCCGCATCTTGAGTGCCCTCGGGATGCCCATTCTTCCTGGACCTGGCCTGCCAGGTCCCACTAGTACCTTTCCCGTAAGTGGCATCTAAACCCAAGCTGTGGCAATAGAACTGGGACATGGCGTTTCCAAGCTTCCAGCCTATGCAATGCCAGAGCCAGCCGAGAATGCCCATGTCGGACACACACTGTGAAAGACAGATGATGAGAATAGAGCTTCCTTCAGATGGCTGTTGTGAGGCTAATGTGAAGCCGCGGTGCAGGGTGCGGCATATGGCTAGCCCTCGATAATGGCTGGTTTACAAAAAGAATGTCAAAACTGAAACCAGAATGGCTGCTCATCATTATTTCTAACCCCTGTAAGGAGACTGGCTGCTCCTGAGCGTGAGCTCTAACCCGCCGCTGTGGGGAGGATGCTGCCCCTCCCCATCCGGCCTGCTTGTCAGGTTCTCACTGGGCCGGGAGGAGGTTCAGGGATAAGCTGCAAGTTCTCAGGGGGAACTGTGGCAGGGAATCATGCTGAATATTAACATGGGATTCCCGGTGCTCTGCAGATGTGAGGACTGACGGACAGTCAGAGATGGGTCAGTCCCTGTATGGAAGCACAAGCCCCAGGCCCTACCCGGCCCCCTGTCCAGAATGGGATCAGAGATGCTGGGGCCGAGTCTCTGTAGCCTTGTGCTCAAATGCTGCAGGCAGCCTGGAACAGGAAGAATTGGGGCACAGCTGAAATCCAAACGGGAAAGCAAACAGCTAAGATCCATGGGGAACAATGTCTGTTTCTTAATCCGTCTCCTGCCCCAAATAGGTCCGCTCTCCTCCCCCAACTTGTGTTGACGTGCCTGTTTCTTTCCCTGGCAGCAGGTGCCACCAGGCCTTCAACTAGGTCACGGGGGTGGTGATGAGCCCACACAGGCCCTCAGGCCATGTCCTCCCCTGACCCCACTTCCCAGGATCCCAGACCTGGAGATACAAAGCCCAGACCCCAAGTGACCTCCTGCTGCCCAGGCTCTGTCCCTGCTCCCTAGAACCACAGGGAGCGATGGAGGATCCTGTGAGTGAGCAAGAACCATGAGCTAGAGGCAGAGGGCAGCTGGGGGGGTGGGGGGGGAGGGGCGTAGGGGGGCGCGCTCTGCAGCCCTCCCTGCCCTATTTTGCAAGTACCCCTTTATCCCCTCCCTGTAGCCCTGCTGAGTGCCCTTGGGGACCCCCATTCTTTCAGGACAGCCAGGGAGCCACTCGCCCCTGCTATTTACCCTGGGAAATCATGGATGATATAGCTTGCCCAGAATAACTCAGCTGGGAAGTGGCAAAGCCCAGGCCCACAAGAACCAACTGCACATCCCTAGCCACCTGTGTCAGCCTTCCTCCCAGCCCGATCTGTCCGTCCTTCTGTCTCAGGACCATCTCTGCCCAGGATCAGGTCCTGATGGTGCTTTTCTCCACACAGGTCCTGTCAGAGAATGGCTACGGCCCGATCACAACGGACATCCGGGAGGGACAGACGTTCTACTACGCCGAGGATTACCACCAGCAGTACCTGAGCAAGAACCCCGACGGCTACTGCGGCCTGGGGGGCACCGGGGTGTCCTGCCCGCTGGGCATTAAAAAGTAACATCTCCCCATGTGGCTGGCCCTCGAAGTCACAGCCAAAATGCTTCAGACAAATTGAGTAGTTCCGTGCTTCACGTCATTGGCTTTTAGAAATGCAGGAAGCACAGAGGCCTTGGTAAACACCTGGTTTATTGAGGTGTGATTTACATGAAGCACCATGCCAAGTTGATATCACGTAATTTATCTCCTAATCAGCTGTGGTGGGAGTAGAGCTGTGAAATTCTTTGGATCATTTGGAGTCTGAATGAGGATAATGAATATGCTGTGTTCACTTTTCTCTTGCTGGGGTCCCGGCCATGGAAGCCAGGGAAGGAGGGGGAGACTGTGGGCCAGATGGGGCATGCTGGAAATCCTCCATCTGAGCCCGGCCCCCTCACACGCCCTACACCCTCCAGTGCCTTAAAATTCACAAACATTTATAGCCTCAACGAATCATTCCCTGAAATACTTTGCTCTCTGGCCCTGCACATGTGTAAGGCACACACACTCTCTTTTTCTCTCCTCAGCCCTCCTGCGGCAAAGAACATAGGCGTGAGCTTGATGAATTGTAACGTGCTGCTTACAGCTATGAGAATTGCTTGTTTTAATAAAGGCTACAATCTAATAATACAAACTGTTTGATGTCTCATCTGTCTTTTACTAGTTCAGGTAGGATATTCCTAAGCATTGTAAGATAGAGGCCTGAGTTATTCTCCCCCACATGGGAAATAAGATTGAAATTTTTGAAAAGCATGTACATCTCTGGCTCCTTGCAACTTTAATAAGAGTAACTGGTTTTTCGCATGCATGATACAGTTATCACATTGGGCAATATGCTAGATCAGTCTTTACACTCAAGACAAGAAGAGGTAGGGGCCTAAGCCGTCAACATGTAACCACCTGAATAAAGAATAGAATTATGGGCCCTGAGAAATGACATGGAGGTGATTGGTGGAATAAGGTAGGAAGTTGTGCCTGAGGTTGTCGCCTCAGGCTGTTGCAGTACACTGGTCAGTGGAGGCCTTTGTGCAGTGGTGAAGCTTAAGTTGAGAACTGAGTGATCTTAATGATACAAGGGAGACAAATATAAATCAGGAATATATGTTGAATGTTGACAATGATATTTTGAAACTGGGAGATGATTATATGGATGTTTTTTATTGGTCTGTGAATATGGTGAATTACATTGACTTTTTTAGTTGTTAAGTTAACCTTGTATTCCTGGGATAAATCTATGTGATCATGATATAGTATCCCTTTTATATAATGTTGAACTTGGTCTGCTAAAATTTTCTTAAGAATTTTTGCTTCCATGTATATAAGGGATATTGGTCTGAGTTTTCTTGTAATGTCTTTGTCTGATTTATGGTATCAAGTTAATGCTAGCCTCACAGAATCATTTGAGAGGTATTCCCTCTCAAATGGGGTAAGGAGGGGGCATCATAGCAACGGGTCATTCTGGTCGTTACAGCATTCTGGTCATTGGCTTTTTATATATAGAGATTTCATCCTATGTATATTATAAACTCCCTAATACATTGTTATAATTTTTGTTTTAAACAGTCAGTTATTTTTTATTTAAATAATAAGAAAACATGTTTCCTATTTACCCATATAATTACCATTTCTAGTGTCCTTCATTCCTTTGGTTGATTCACATTTCCATTTGATATTATTTTCCTTCTGCTTGAATGAGTTCCATTAGCAATTCCTATAGTGCATTTCTGCTAGTGATGAATTCATGCAGCTTTTATATGTCTGAGAACATCTTCACTCCTGAAACATATTTTTGCTATATGCAAAATGCTACATTGACATTTTTTTCTCCAGGAATATATAAAGACTATGCTTTATTGTCTGTTTTTGGTTTGTATTGTTTCTAATGAAAAATCTAAATCTATCACCCTGTGAACATAATTCTTTTCCACTCAATTATCTGCTTTTAAGATTTTTCTCTTAGTTGCCTGTTTTAAGTAAGTATATTATTGTAGAGTGTAAAATTGTGACCATCCCCTCTCCCCCCCCCTCCCCCCGCACAATAAAATGTGAGCTTATTTGGATATAGAGTCCTTGTACATGTCACCAAGTAATATGAGTCACACTGGATTAGGATGGGCCCAGGAAGGCAAAAGTGAGTAGAGTCCACGGTATCTCCAGTAGTTTTGCATGCAGGCAAGACCTAACATCTTGGCTAAGAGCGGGGGCTGGACATTATCTCTCAACAGGTAGAGATTGAAACTGCATAATTTGGTGAGCTCTCTAATGGAGCTGGTTTCCTGGGAAACAAACAGAGAACAAAGCTTGAGCTCTGGGTTTGGTCCAGGATGGAGTGGAGAGAGGAAGACAGGCAGTGAGAGGCTGTGGTGTGGGTAACAGGGCCTTTAAAGTAAAGGGAGCAAGTTCCCTTAAATGTCTCAGCCTCAGTGTACTCGTTTCTAAAAAAAAAAAGAGTTAAAAGGGGCCTCGAGAATTCAAGGGCGATATGTGAGCGTTTTGTATAAAGGACATCACTTTCTGTGAATGTTTTTCATTGAAGAACAAGAAAGATCTAAATAATGGAAACCAAGATTACAGAAAGGTAGGTGAGCCTACAGTCACCAAGGATAGAAGTGGGAGATGCCTATGGGGGCTCCTTACTCCAACTTTCACACAGGGATCCTTCTATGAAGGGACTCACCTCCTACAGAAGGAGTCTGGAAAGTAAGGTTTCCCTGATGTCAGTCATTACAATCCTGGGAGAGTTAGGAGGACTGCCCCAGGCTGAGTATCAACACCAGCTAGTGGCACAGAATTTTGCAAGTATTTAAGATGACACTTTAAGATTGCCCCCGTTTGGCTATTAGGAGGACCACACAACATAATACTTGGGAAATAGGTCCATAGTCCTTAGAATTTGCCAGCTTGCAAAGACAATTTCCTCAATATGTACTTAGAATGACTGAGTCTTCAAACTTATTTTTTTGTTTATTTATTTTGTTAATCTACACCCAAGGATATTTTTCCCATACACTTTTAAAGAGAATTTAGGGAGAGGGAGAGAGAGAGAAAAACATCAGTGTGTGTGTGTGTGTGTGTGTGTGTGTGTGTGTGTGTGAGAGAGAGAGAGAGAGAGAGAGAGAGAGAGAGAGAGAGAGACATTCATTGATTGGTTGCCTCCTGTCTGGGGCTGGGGATGGAGCCTGCAACCGAGGTATGTGCCCTTGACCAGAATTGAACTAGAGACCCTTCAGTTGTGAGCTGATGCTCTAACCACAGAGGGAAATGGGCCAGGGCCTTTGAAACAGACAAGAGCAAAGACAGGGCTCCCTTGATCTCATTTTTAATCCCATTTGGGGAACTGACTGATTTGGTCCCACCTTTTTCAGCCTTGATCACATTCCTTGTTTATCACCACAGGATTTCCTAGTTTCACAATCATCAATCTCCTTTATTCTAGCTCCAAGGGTGAGTGGGAATTTAGAATTCCAAGTTAGTGCTCAGGAAAAAAGAAACACACACAAACACACACACACACACACACACACACACACACACACACACACACACACACAACAAAGCAAACAAAAAACAAACAAAACAGGAATTAAGGAAGGTCAATATTGAGATTAGATCTAACATTCTTAGAAGACTTCAGTTCTTCCCTCTAACTGAATCAATCAGAGTCTAATTAATTCCTGAGTGAAGGTACAAGCGCAGGACCCACCTCGCCCACTCTGTCCCATGTGGAATTAATGAAACAGGAGTAGAGTCTCTGTCATCCTGTGCTCAATACCCTAGCTAGCTGGAAACAAGAAAGAATCAGGGCATAGCTCAAATACAGAAGTGGGAAAAGAAACAGGCTACCCTCCCCAGGGAGAACTTTCTATTTCCTAATGTCTCCTGCCCCAAATAGCTCTGCTCCTCCCGATTTGTGTTTATGTGCTAGGCTCCTTTCTCTTGCAGCAGATGCCACCAGACTGACAGTGTCTGAAGTAGGTCAAGAGAGTGGTGCTGAATTGACACAGGCCCTCCAGCTAAGTCATGCCTTATCCTCACACACCCCTACCTACCCCCCTTCCTGCCCAGTTTCCTGGCATCTCAGGCTGGCCCCTGACCCCCAGAACCACATGGTTTTGGGGAACCCTTGTTCCAGCTCCAGGACCCTGGACATGCAGGTTTCAGCCCTCTTGGCTGGAATGACAGAGTAAGGTAGATTTTTATATCTTCAGCACTTTTGGTGTCTCCCTAATCCTGAGCCCTCTCATTCCACTTTAGCTCTGATGAAATTATCTGAGGTTATTTATCTGTTTTTGCACAGAAGCCAGATACCACACTGCCCTTCTAGTACTTCTGTTGCACTTGGAGCTGTTTGAAACAAACAGATAAAAGCAAAGTCAGGACTCCCCTATGCACCAGGTGACAGCATTGCAATAGTGAGTAAGGAATAGTTTTTGCTGCCAAACAAACTTTATTTTAAACAAGAGGAGACTGAGAGAAAGAAATTACTCACCTAGTGTAACTCAGTCTGGGGTAAAATCTAGTGTCAAACCACAACCTGATAATTCCTACTCCGACCCACTCTTTGCTACGTCATTTAAAATTTGCATTACCTGTGAGTATTTCTCTCCTTCCTTGCTAACCTCTGTTAAGGCTCTAGATTCAGATTTCTTCTTTTTCTCCAGATGCCTTTAAGAGGATAGCAATGACATGCTATGACTAATATTTCAGAGGAAAACATTGTATTGAAGATGGCCAGCAGCTGTTTTGAAACAAAAATCCTGATAATGGATACTGTAAACTGGGAGGGGAGAAGGGGGCAGGGAGTTTTCCTTTCTAATGGACTAAAAAATAATCTCTCAATTTCCACATCTAGGTAGTATGCTATAAATTATAGTAAATCAGTACTCCCACTGTATCATTAGAAAAACCTAAATAACTTTTTGGAATCACAGCATAGGAAAACTCTGAGACCAGTGAGAACTAAAGGGACTAGATATTTCAGAGAACCAACACTGTTACAAAATGAGGTGATATTTCCAGGCT